GACGTGCCCGGAAGGAACGAAAGGATCGCAACAGATGTTGGAAGGCGAAAGGGGAATGGTATCCATGGTCGGAGGGGAATCCACTCGATCCATTCAGTTTCTCTAACTCTTGTCCTTGGTCTTTCGCCCCAACCGAATCGTCTCTCTCGTATCATCCACCAACCAGCGAGTTCAAGCTCGCTGAAGCGCGATGGCCGACTTCATTTTCACCAGGCCATCCGGCCAAGCACCCCCTCGTTAATCGCCGCGAGAATTTTTGAGAATCCGAAGAGACGATCGACTTTCAAGAGCGACTTGTAAATCATTCATTCAAGCAAATGTAGCAAGCGTCTGGCTAAATTTGAAGGATCAACTTTCGTCGAGTCTGAAATGCACTACGAACTGAAAGAAGGCAGGAAGCAAGGAAGGGGAGAGACTGACTGAACCGAAAAGGGTTCAAAAAATCTTTGGAAAGATAAACGAAACAGCCGAGGGGAGAGGGGAGAAAAATGGACAAAAAGGGAGAAGAAAAATGAGAAGAACTGGGGCAAACGAAGTGAGAGGTGGAAAAAAAGGGAGAAAGAGGGGAGGAGGAGGAAAAGGAAAAGATAGAGCTAACCGGAGGCGGAAGCTACAGACAACGAGAAAGGGAGGAGCAGAGGATAGACGACGAAAGAAGGAGGAGGAGGAGGAGGAGGAGGAGGAGGAAGTTCCACATTGTTCTGGAGTCTACATCCTGTAGTGGAAACTTGGTGTAACAGCCCTCCGATTCCACGAGAAGTTTAGTACTAGGAACGTGGCTCCCTGCCAGCTTTCCAGGATGAACCTTAACCGCATCCATGAAAGGAGAGGCTACGGGATTATCTCTCGAGTTCTCTCGCTTCCTCCGCGATATCATTATGAAAACCATCGCGCGACCGGGGCAATACGTCTCTCTCTGCTAACGCGCGTTACAACAATAGGTATTACTTTAAGTCGAAAAGCCACACTTGCGCTGTCATCTTTGCAGTTGCCAATAGAGCTATGACACTCACAGGTGTGTCCAAAATGACCAAAAAAAAAAAAAAAAAAAGAAAAAAGAAAAAAGTTCGAAAAGAAGTTTAGAAACGTTCGATATTTCACGTGGAACGTTCACTTTCGCTTTTCGTTGGATGGTTCGCGGGAAACGCGGCAACAATTACCCCAACAAAGAAGCCACAACGACGACCAACACAAGACCAACCGAGCCGTATTAAAAACGTTTCCAACGAAACAACCGCGGCCACTTGCGTTCGCCACTTTGACCACCGATCAACACATCACAATGGGCGAACCTCTCTTTCTTGCCATTTCGGTAGCAGCGTGCAAAGCTACTTCCAAAGTAGCATTCAGTTTCCAATCGGAGGAATCGAGTACAGAGGCTTAAGTTGAAAAGCTGGCGAAAGGCGCACGCGTGTGCGATCAGAAACGTGAAAGGAAATAGAGTAGTTGAAGCCTTTGTCGCGTTTTTCCAATCGGCCTGGAGAATCGGTCGCGCGTTGCGAGAAACAATAATCAACTCTGTACAGCGGAGTGGCGGACTTGGAGTGGCGACTTCACTCGCGGTTGCCATTGTAGCGGCCGGTGGGCCTCGTTCGAGTGGACGAGCGTAGAAAAAAATTCGCAGGGAGCGAAGTGGCGACGTTTAGTTAAGTGCACCGACGACGGCCATTATCGGCGTTAATAATGCCCCTGTTCGCCACTCGTGTGCTCGCGGCCATTACCCAGCCAGTCTTTTCTCTCTCTTTCTCTCTTCTTTCTTCATCGCCTCCAGTTCACCAAGTGCCGCGACAGTTTTAGGGACTAGATGTTTTAACGGCCTCGGCGAAACGAAAACCTCGGTCGAGCTCTCGTTAGTCTTCTCGTTTCGTAGGATTTTTCTTCGCCGTGAACGAGACACGAGAGACGAGATGCAAAAGCGAGGGGCAAAGGGGCATCACCACTACCAGATGCACCGTTGCCTGCGCGTCGAATGTTCGAATAGCTGGCAATGATACAGATGTTAGCCGTGGAATTACCGTGTGATGTTCATCGAAGCGAGGAGGGAAGTCACCAGCCTCGGGCCCGCGCAAAAACGGCCACCACTGCATTAAGGGTCGGCTAATAACGCGTAATGCCAACCACGTTCTCTCTCTCTCTCTCTCTCTCTCTCTTTTTTCCTCTTTTCTTTTTCCTTCTGCTGGTAGCCAACCCCATACGCGAGCTGCGACACGCCATAGGTGAATCCCGCGCGTCGAGGGGTGGCGTGTCCGCGAGGGGAAATGAAAAAGATCACGCACATTGGGCCACTCGTTCCGGCGTGACACCTCGCAATCCCCCCGGGGACGCGTTGCGTCGCGATTATCATTTCGAAATCGACTAGAAAAGCCAGTCGGTGACAATAGCCGGCCATGATGCGTTAGTAACGGCCATTCATCGTTTCGGCGGACCGGACCGGCCGAAAGAATGGCTGGAACGGATAGAGAGAGGGGGTACACCTCGAGGGGTGCTATTCTCTGGACAGAGAAATGTCGAGAGAGAGAGACATGCTCGCGTACGTGGCAAACACTTACTTGAAAGAGGATATACACACACACACACA